AACTTAATGCTACTACATCTCGCGTTAGATCGCTGGCAATAGTGATTTCTTCTTCGGCATCACCCATCTCAAACGAACCCTAACAATATTCGCTACACTTGATTAATTTACTCTTACCATTTCAGCTTACCTGAATGTATCATATCATGATTAGGAGGAAATTTAAATTCTAATTAATTCAAATAATATATTTGAACTAATGAATCTGAATAATGTAATATTTCGAAAATCAAATTTAAATTACAAATTTGACATAGTATAATGCTGAAAGCTAATCAAATTTTGAGCAAAATTTCTGAAGTAAACTTAGGTATATGAATTACCATAAATTTGAATTGTAAATTCCAGGTACCCAAATCGAAAGTTTTCATAGCTATGTCACCATCACTTACATATTGTCCTGGTATACGAAATATAAATCGTCGCCATCTTTGAAACTGCAAATTTAGTAAAGTAAAAAAATGAAAAATGAAGTATTATTATAACCATTTCTTAAAAACTACAATTATTAAGTAAAATTTATCATATATTACGATTAATTAATTAATCAAATGAATATGTATTACAAATCATATTTCAAACATTTTCAAATCTTTAATAGAATTGGAAAATGAATGAGAAGAAATGAAATATACATATTAACAAATAACTGAATAATCATTTGAAATCAAAGAATTGAATACTTGCTTATTTGAAGAATTTAATATTTTTAAAATTAATAAATAATTAAGTGATAAAATGCAAAATTTACAAAACAATTTTTACTATTAATTAAATTTATGGAATACCGAACCATTCTATCCTTATATTGATTAGATTTGCAATGCATCAAATGTTCACATTGATGATAAACTATCATATATAGATTTAATTTTGTAAATTCATCATGCATAGCATTAATTTCGAATGTACCATTGATATTTGGATGTGTCGTGAAAAGTTTGTCATCAGGATTCAAACCTTTAAATTAACATATTAGATGAAAGCATGAAATATAAAAATAAAGATAAAAGTAAAAAAAAATAAAACCGGGAATAAAAATAAAAGTAAAAAAAAATAAAAATCGGAAAAAAAAATAACTATCTACCTCTTTTTTTTGCTTAATTTTTTTTAACTAAGCTTATTTTATTTATTATTCCATTTCAATTAAATTTTTAATGAATTAAAATTGATTACAAAAAATTGTGCAAAAAATTTCAAACTATCGCAAAATTATATCAAAATTATTTGTTACATTTTTATTCAAATTGAAATAATATAATTGTAATTATATATAAATATATGTATTTTAATTTCATTATTGCTAACTATTAACTCTTTATTTAATCAAATTATGCTAATTACTTGATTTAATCAATTAATAAATGATTTAAGGATGAAAGAAAAAAAAAATGATGCAAAGTACGGTTATAACATAATGGTGCCTAATCATAATATGATCTATTCATAAAAATACGTACGGTTATATGGTTATATTAAAAAAATACGTAAACGTGTATAGTTATATAATATTATAATGTTTACTTATGTAATCATGCGTGTTTACGTGTTTACATTAGAATATTACGTACGCATGTATAATTATAGTGGAATATAACGTAAACACGTATGGTTACATTAGAACATTACGTAAACACGTATGGTTACATTAGAACATTATGTGAATACGTATGATTATATCAGAATATTAGGTCATATGTAAACGAGTCTTACGTAACACTTTTTTTATATTTATCAAGATAGACAACGTGAAACTATATTTTAAACTTTATTTTTCTTTTTAAATTTTACTTTTTCTTTTGTTTTTAAATTTCACTGTTTTTTTTTAATTCAAAAAATTTCATACTTTTTTTTTGAATGATAAATTGATGAATAAAATTTAGCAATGGTTGATCTTCATCCCATAATTCAATTGTTGCATTATGAGGAATTTCTTTACCACATCGAAAAATTCCACGTATTTTTATAGATTGCATTCGATTTTCCAGTACTGGAAAATTTGTTAGTAGCAAAAATAATAGCAATGTTTGCAACATAAATTTCCTGAAATAAAACGAGAAATTTGCATATTCTGTTCAATTATTATTTCATTATTAATATTGAAAATTACTTTTATTTTTTTTAAAAAAAAAAGAAACAGAAAGAGAAAAAATATTCCTTAAAATAAAAGTTATTTTTTTTAAAGTCGAAAGATTTATGAATGATAAGGAGGACGCGAAAAAAAATTAATAATAAATTTTATGGTATATTAAATATGAATAGAAAGGAAAAAAACTATGAGGAATAAAATGAGAAAAGTAAAAATTGATAAAAATTTATTTTATTCATTAAATTAAAATGTGATAAAAACTATCATGACAAATAAGCAAAGACAAAAAAAAAAATTGCTATGACATGATAACGAAAAATCTAAAAATTGAATAAAATTAAAAATTCTGTTAATAATTAATGGTGCATAATATCGATAAAAGAAGTATTAAAATGAACTTTAACCCTAAAAATTAATAATAGAAAAAATTCTGTCAATAATTAACGGTAAATAATATCAATGGATTTATTACAATGAACTTTAACCTTTAAAAAAGAATGAACTTTTCACTAAACTATGGTTGTTTGTCGTGAAATTAACATTGCAATTAGGAATTATAATGATATAGTGAATAGGATCAGTAAGAGAAGTGTTAAAATGAACTTTAACCCAAGGAAAGAATAAAAGCTTCATTGAATTGCAACTATTTATGGAAATAATTAAATTATGAATTATTAATTAATTCAAGCAATAAACAAATCACATAATATATACAATGCTTCATTATCATAATACATAACCTTCGAGTCGTTCATCCTGAAATTAACATTGCAATTAGGAATTATAATGATAAATTACAATTGTTAAATTAAATTACTGTAATTATTTATACAATCATTTGCTTTACACTATCAATTAAATTACTGTAATTATTTGCACTATCAAAACAAATTTTGTTTTTTTTTTTTTCAATACAAATGCAATGAATAATTACTTTTCTTTTAATATTTCAATATTTGAATTTTGCTATTAAATAATGATATCATAAAGAGTATTTCAATCATTCTTTGATCATCTTACTGATCAACGATCAACGATAATTTAAATTAGCTATATCATAGTAAGAAAAAAAAAGAATAAACATTAAATGAGCTGAAATTTAACAAATTGAATTTATCAAATTCATTTCAAATTGTAATTAATGCATACTTACAGGTAATATTGCTTCCAAATTAAAAATACCCAAGTCTAAAACTTTTTCAGCATGGATACCATAATTGATGAAATGATATGGTACCAGGAAATGAATTTTTCGTAATCCAAACTATAAAAAGAAATGCATAATTGGCTATTGTTGATATTGCATTAAAAATATTTCACAATTAATTAGGTTAATTATTTTATGCTTAATTAAATTTACGAAATATTTCTGCCATTAATTACCAGTGATTGCTAAAACATTTCTCAATTTTTAATTTTTATTTTTTATTTTTTTGTTTTTTTTCATATAAATGTTAATACTAACCAATTTATTATGAAGACAATTATGATAAACTTTTAAGATTGGTTGAATTTGACCAACTTTGACCGTTGTACCATTGATGAAGAATTGTCCATTCTGGTCAGTGCATGTTTCATTCAAAATATTATCAGAATTTATTGCTAAAATTACAAAAAAAAAAAGAAAAAAAACTTACAAATTAATTTTATTTTAACAAATTAATTTTATTTTATCAAACATATTACATATGCATATAAAAAAGCAAAATTTAAAAAAAATTGAAAAATTTTTCATTCAATTTGTTTTGTTTCATTTTATTCTTTTGTATTCGATCAAAATTGATAATATTTCAAATTTAATTTTAATATTAAATTTAAAATAACCTATTGAAAACTAAAATTACCCAACATATGTTCATCAATTATTATTGATTGACTATTGAGATTATTCTCGAATAATTTTACTCGAATACCATTTATCGGTTCTTGACCGCAAATAAATTTACCACGGATAGCTATCGATTGTACCATATGTTCCATTTGATATGTATTAATTATATGTGTAAGTATCGAAAGGATAAGAACGATTGAAAGCCAAAATCGCAACATTCTAAGTGGAAAAAAAAAAAAAAAAAGGAAATCACTGAAATTATCAATGATTACATTTCCTGATAACAACTTTTATACGGTAGTTTTTGTTAATAAAATGCATGAAATAATTTAAAAAAATTTTTCATTATAACAAATTTTAAAAAATAACAAAATAATCCAAGTAATCTAATTCTTAATTTTTATTTTTAAATTATTCAAAAATATTTATTAAATTAAATTTTTTTTTTTGCTTTTATATCATTTATCAAAATTTATTTTCTATGAATAAATTTCCAATCGATAATTTAAAACTTTAATTAATCAAGAAGAAAAAAAGATGATTAATTTAAAAATTTGCAAAAATTATTAATTGCAATTTTTTGAATAGTTATATATTATGCCGAAGGAATAGTTGAAATTTAAAAAGTTCTAAAATGTATTCAAAAAAAAATTTTTTTTTTCTAGCTCTTACTAGCAAATTATGTTACATTTGCTTAAAATTTGGTTTAAAATAAGCAAAAAAAAAAAAAATTGGCAAATTTTTGTAAATTAGACCGCATTTTAGGCCGTTCATTTTTATTATATTAATGACATCTTGAGGAATTGAACAAATTACGCCTATCAATAGTTTAGAAATAATTTATGTAAGGTAAATACCTTTGCTTAGCTATAAATTAAAGCATAAAATTGTAATCAAATTAACTTTTTAATTGATAATTAAAATAGCAACTTAAATTTGCACACCTTGAAATGAACAGCCTAAAATGCGATCTAATTTACAAAAATTTGCCATTTTTTTTTTTTTTTGCTCATTTTAAACAAAATTTTAAGCAAACATGAAATAATTGCTAGTAAAAGCTAAAAAAAAAAAAAAAAATAGAGAATATTTTAATGGAATGACCAAATGAAGTATTTTTAGTAACACCAACTTGACACACAAAAAAAAACTTGCCTGATTGACCTTTGACCATATGCGGTCATCAAAATCTCTTTTGTGAATCAATACAAAAAAAAAATTTTTCCTGTTGACCTTTGACCACATCTGATCACTTTACAATTTCTTTATAATCTCTTGCATAAATCAATAACAAAGGCATAGCATTAAAAATGCTAAATGATCAATTGTTTACCCAAAAAAAAAAGTGAAGATTGTTGAAAATTATTCAAAAAAAAAAAAAATTTACCAGTAGATTTGCTTAATTACCGTTAATTTTCCTGAAACTTTTAAAATTTGAAATCCCTTTTTTTGTATTTTAATTATTAATTCGAAATTATGCAAATTTATTATTTTTACACTTTATTTCTGAAATCTGAAAAAAAATCCGGTGAAATAATACAAACACTTTCAAATTTATATATCATTTGTGCAATATCAGAAAATCGATACAATCAACATCCATAATGAATGTTTTCTAATCCGGAAATGTGATCCGGTCCCATATATATATTACCGGAAATCAACAATTCTAATTCATTTTTTGTCGCTCATATACTTTTATGCCGAATCGAAAAGTTATAAGTGCGGTCAAAATACATCCATTTCCTGCTATAAAAAGTTCAGATATTGTAAAATTGAAGCAATAAATTTACATTAAAAATGCCAATTTAAAAAATTGCTTAATTTGAAATTGTTTAATCTCTCTTTTTCATTTCATTTTAATTTTTCATTTCCAATTATTTATTTCCTTTTATTTCGTACTCTTCCAACTTCAGAAATCAAATCTTCTGATCGAATTTTCTAACTATTGTTTTTAATTCGCTCACTGTTATCCGTTCTTGTTTACAATTATTACTAATGATCATTTCATGCATTTTTACAAGTGGGATACGAATTTTCATACCGGGCAGTAGTCATTCTTTCATGCGTAGAAATTTGAATCAAATTTTCCAATTGAAATTTAATTTGATTGAGAAGCATTTAAACGATATTTGGAAGAAATGCCAAGGAAAAAGAGAGGGACGAGAAGGATTTCAAAAGCTAAACGTGTTGCTCTTCCAGTGATTATCCCACAATTTCAACCTATCAATCCATCACGACGTAACATTTCTATCTTTATTATCATCATTATCACAATTATCAACTGTCACTAATATAAGATGGTATCGTGGTAAGCAGATATTTATGGTTATAAAATATGAAGTAAATCTAATCAAGATTTCGTTTTTTCCCACCGTAAATATATATATATATATATATATATCCTTTCAGAGAATGTTTCTGAATTGTTATCAATAATTGGAGCACACGCAAATGTCAAACGAGTGAACAAAGCTAATATGATGAAAAAGGCGTAAGTGTTATATGAATTAGAAGCATTAGAGCAAAGATGTTAGTGTTGAACATTTCGCATTGATATTTCTTAAATGGTTGAAATTAACTGTTAAATATATTTCGCAAATTCTTAAGCATGTTTTCTTTTCAAACTAACTTCCTTGAGATATATGCAAACGTTCTGTTCATTTGTATTACTGTTTGGTAGTGTGCCCATTTATTTTTCTTTCAAACTAATTTTAAAAAAAAATTTGCAAGCAATTGTGAGAAAGAGAATGAATGGTAATAGAATAGAATGACACATTTGTAAATTGCCTAAAATTCAAAGTAAATGATGGGTATATTTTCAGTGAGGTTTATGGTTGGCTTGGAGCTGGAGATATTCAATCTGTATTCAAATATTGTGATGAGATCGTTTTGAAGGATGATTTCATTCAGTTGGTTTGTTTTCTACAATCTAATTGAGTTACTGCCAACAAATCAGTGGCAGCTCAATCGACATTATCAATACTGTTTTTGATATGATGCTAAACGCCAGAAACAACTTGTACAGATGTTCGTGTCCTCAGTTGATCTTCTTCACTCAAGATGAGTTGAGACTGTACTATTTCATGTTCATTTGGATTTGATGAAACGATCTAGTTTCAGAATAAGTATCCTCACGGTGAAATTTCTGCGGCAGCAATCAATATTATTTCTGAATTTCCGGATGTATTACAAACTTCAGCGATGGAAGCACATAAACAATCGGTAGTTGATAAGGAAAATCTGTTTGTCGAAGCTGCTTTCGCTCAAAATTTCATATTTACGTGAGTTCTAATCTAATGCAGAATATTCTTCCGCCGTTCCCGTGATTCTGCAATCAATTTACATAGGCTTGCAGGAAAGAGGGAACATCACGAGACGCTGTCAATGAACAATCCTTATTATATAATAACGAACCAACGAATATGTTCTGTTTTGTGCGCCGTGATGATAATGTTATTCTCGTCACTGAATCTGAATGCTTTGATGCTACAAGATATTTCATCCAGAAAATTTGTTCGTTTAGTTTAAAAATGTCCAATTTTTACCTGAATTTTTAATCGATTTTTCCAATTGGACAATTTTTAAATAAGTCTAATTGTTTCAGGGCAATGGATCGATGGAGAAGCTTTTTATTGATTTTCAGCCTTTGCTCTGTGATGAAAATTTCGAGAATAGGTGGGTATGCAATAGTATTAACAACTTTTGATCAATCATTGAGCGCACTTAATATTTTTATTTAGCTCTGGACAACTTTTTGCGGTTTTACCGGATAGAAAGTTAAGGATTGCAGCAGAACTTACGCAACTACAACGCGAATATACAACGGTATATTTATTTCATTTCTTGCGCACGCTTAAAAACTTAACTTAGGAATTTAGGGTTTAAACTCAGATCATTTGGACCTAAGTCGCCTTTTTAACGACTTGGTAAAATGTTAGGAATAAAATAAGTTGTTCGATGAATTTTTAAATACAGTCGTAAATCACATAGAATGTTGATGATTTAGAACTTTCATGTTACAGAAGTTCGGGAACTTCGAAGCTGACAAGTCATTATCTACTGCTGATTGGGTTAGTACCATTACTAGGATTTTCTTCCTTCTATTTTATTTTTTTGTAACCCTGTTTTATTCTTGATAATTTGTTCATGTATCAGGATGAAATCAGTACGCTTAATGCCAGCATTTCGGAAGCCGAATCATTTGAGTTGGTAGTGGATGAAGAAAACAAGAAGCAGGTATATTGCAGTAATATTGTACTTCTTATTTAATGGTCAGTTTATTTGATAATTGATGCAGAGAAAATTAATTTTTGGCTTTTAAAAGCTTGTAATACACCCTAATGTCTTTTACATACTTTCTGGGTTTCAGGACATGAGCTCTACTAGTATTGTTAATTTGAGCACCGTGATATCGGAAGAACGATTTGCTCTTTTGCAGGAAATCAAAAACAAGGAAAAGGAATTAAGAACTGAACAGGAAAAGTATGCACCACAGCACTTCTTTTGCCTCATTTTGTTTGATACAAAGATGGAAAGATACAAAATGAAAAATTTCTGATCTTTGAACTAGTTAGTATTTCTCCATCTTACAAGTTCTTTTTTTAGATTCAAATATTCTTTAATACCCCGAGAGAATATCGCAGTAGCAAGAGCTCGATTTCATGAAATGGTAAATGCAGAATTTCTTCAGTAACGGTCATTCACTTTTCCAATTGTGTCTTATATATTCAGCGTCTTGCTATGATAGTTTAATAATATTTCAAAGTTATGTTTATGATTTAGCGATTAATTATTCTGAACATTTCTTAGCAGTAAAATAAATCGGAGGAAAATCGATATATTTGACAATGTGCCATCAATTTTTGGACAAGTTTCACGCTAACATGAATAAGTTTTTGACTTCTATATCAGTCTGCTATGAACAATGATGATATTTGTAGTTAATGAAAGACACTGAAAGCGCAACAACATCGACTGCAAAAAAGAAGTTGTTCACTGTTCTGAGGGACAGCAAAAAAGGCAATATGTAGACTATGACATTATTTGGAATCATTTGGAACCAACTTCAAATTTACTGGATTACAAGATACGATAAGGATGGAGTAAACCTCAGTGGTGATTCAGAATTTCTGATTACTAAATCAAAAAATCAAGTTTTGTTCCTTACTTCTATTACCGATAAAATGCTTGATATTCATAAGCAAGAAAAATTGAAGTATTCTTTTCGTTATTTAAGCTAAAGCATAACTGAACACACGATTTTACCGATCTACGAGATTTCTTTAATCTCTTTTTTGAGATATACTGGTTGCCAACAATATGATGCTTGCAAAATATTTTTTATATGTCATTTTATTTTCTGAACACACCACTTTTGTTACACTGTTCATATCATAATTGCTGAGCAAAGTGCTGAAATGGACTGAAGGATATGTTCATCTTGGCTGCACACTGCCATGAAATCTTCGCGTGATATCCAACCTTTCTTTTCATGATC